TTTTCTCAATCCCCTGAAAAACGAACATTTTCCACGGATGTTTCAACATTAGCAGAATAATGTTGACATTACCCAGACCGGTCTGGATCATTCTGAATTTTCAAAGACCAAACACATTAACAGTGGTGACATCACTGAAAGTCAGCAATTAATAGCTCTAAAATTGAATGGTACCTCACTGAACCCGTTACCCAAAGATACCTCCTCTGTTTACGCTCTGTAAGATTTAGCGAAGGTCTTTGTAAAGATTAACTAAATGATGTTTACAGAAGATACATCATAGATATTGTAAAAAAAAAATCATTTCATTTCACAATAGAGAAGAGACACTGGCCTGAAATCAGAGATCTTATATTTTGGACGTGGTCTGTCATTTTCAAGCTGTGTGATCTTGGCCATGTCATGTAAGCTCTCAAAATCTTTATATCCTCAGCTGTGGAATGAGGATGGTAAGGTGTGACCTGCTCTTTCATGTTGCTTTTCAGCTGATCACGTGCAGGGCTAAACAATGTGAGGAACTGTGATCACCACTATTACTTTTATTTGAAGTTAAGGATATATTTTTAAACTGTTAATAGTTCAAGTTGCAACTTAGCTATCTACTTTAAATGTCTGTTCGCAAAAACTCACCGGAGGGTTGTAACACACATTTAAACCTTGCAATGTAAAACCTGTCAGTTTTATCTTTAATTGAGTCTTTTGACCATGTGTCAAATAACAAGTTAATATTATACTTCATTGAGTGGATGGACTTGTGAAAAGGATGTTGCATAAATCCCTACTTTACTGTAGGCAAAATTGTATGTTATGCATATGTATACATATACATTTTCCTGGGAGAAGGTTTACAGATTTTATAAATCAGATTTTCAGAAGAGTATATGATCATGTAAAGGATATAGAAAAAAAAACTTCATTGATAAAGATTGGAGAAGCTATTACCTCGTGTATTTTAAAAATTTTTAATTTTGCCATCATTTGGGGAGGGGTGGTGATTAGGATATTTTTATTTCTTTTAATGGAGGGACTGGGGATTGAACCCAGGACCTTGTGCTTGCTTAACACGCACCGTACCACTGACCTATATCCTCCCCATCACCTTGTTTTTTTGTTTGTTTGTTCGTTTTTGTTTTTAAATCAATCCAGTAGGATGCAGTTTAGAGAATCAATAGTCTGAGACTTTCTGTGCCGCTCAAGGGATTGCAGGGGACTAGACTGGTGTCCACCCCAGGAGGGCCAGAGTGACATCTACTCTCCCCAACTCAGCCTGTGATCCCTCCCTCTCTCTTCTGGCCCCCGCCTTTTGTGGCTGGACCGCAGCCCGGGTTATCGATGCTAAAACAGGCACACTCAGTAAGGCTGTGATGACTTACTACCACTGAGGGAAAAGCTTCACGATTGTGGCTTCCCTGAAAACCTCAGAGCTGCATTTAACACAGAATCAGCATTGATACTATAAACAAAGCTCCGTAGGCAAGAGCCAAAGGGCTGAATGTCTGTTTATGAGAAGCACTTTTGGAAGCAGGACAGAATACACAGCAGACGGCTTTTCCTTCCGTGTGCGGGGTTACGGAGAAGGATGAGTGTCCCAAACGCCTGAACTTCTCACAACTTGCCTGTGACCTCTGTGCTGTGCACACCACTAAGCTGTCACGTTTTCCATTTTAGCCATGTCAAGCTACCTCTTTATCATTAAATACGAACTACCTGAATTAATCAGAGCGTTCATGGGACTTGAAGAAAATACTGGGTATGTCTTCTGTTCTCTCTGTAACATCAAGTGACTCATTCGACTTGGTCTTTTCTGATCCTAATATTCTTGTCTCTCTTTTCTAGAGAATGGTACCTCAATGGCAACTACCTCGTCATTTTTGTGTCGGTTGGAATCATTCTTCCACTTTCTCTTCTTAAAAACTTAGGTAAAGTCATTTCCAGTGTTTATTTTCATTTCCTGTTCTAATAGGGAAGATGACTGGAGATGCCATACTCACCTTCCAGAATTTCTCTGCTAACTCCTAGGTTACCTTGGTTATACCAGTGGATTTTCTCTCACCTGCATGGTGTTTTTTGTCAGTGTGGTAAGTGATTTTTGACATGATCCTTGGAGCTTGGTGGGCCTGTGATGCTTGTAGTGCCTGACTTGGTGTCCTCCGTTTTGTTCAAGCACGTTATCGGCATGAAATTGTTCTTGCATCACAAGCAATTCTCTTGTAATTTGGAATGAGAAAGGAACAGTGATGAGCTTAAAAATAGTTGAGTTAGAATGTCAAGGCCATTGTCAATAGTATGTTCTAGGCACACTGGATGTGCATTTGGACAAAAGGAACACTCCAAGCAGGAATGTGACAACGACCCAGGATTTAGAAAGGGGGAGGAAGACGAAGTGAGGGGTCTCAGAGGATAAATGAGTAGGCTATATGTAGAACGAGCCATTTTCACATGAACCAGCCATTTTCTCTTACTCATTCTACCCAGGAAGGGAGGGTGACCACCGTGGAATTAAAGAAAGAAATCCTTCTCGTCACCCCAATCCCACTCCCCTCCAAAAGGGGGAATTTCTTCTAATATCATGAAGGCCAGCATTTATACAGCGCTTCCCCAAAGAGGCAAAGAACAAGGGGGTAATTTCTGATGACCCATATTTCCATTAATTTGCAGAAATGAAATATGTGAAATGGAGCAAGAAAGTGACCCTCTTTCTCATGGAAGAGTTTGCATGAAGGTTGGGACAGGTTCATGCAAAATAGTCTTGTTGACTCTCAGGGATGGGGTTGTCAACCACAGTTCCAACTCTTTGCTTAGAACAGAGGTAGAGAGTGTCTCCCTTGTCCATTCATCTAAAATGAATCCGCAGCAGAGCTCCCTCACCTCTACCCTCTCAGCCACACAGATGGAGTTTGGTTTCATTGTTTTCCTCAAAAGGCTGACTTGTCATTGTTGTGAATGACTGGGTCTAGGTGATTTACAAGAAATTCCAAATACCCTGCCCTCTGCCTGTTCTGGATCACAACGCTGGAAATCTGACATTCAACAACAGCCTTCCGGTGCACGTGGTAACGTTACCCAACAACTCTGAGAGTCGCGGTGTGAACTTCATGATGGATTACACCCACCGGAATCTTGCCGGGCTGGACGAGAACCAGGCCGAGGGCTCTCTGCATGGCAGTGGAGTAGAGTATGAAGCTCACGGTGATAAGTGTCAGCCCAGATACTTTGTATTCAACTCCCGGGTGAGTGAGAGGCCGAGGCCTCTAAGAGCCCGGCAATGTGGCCTCTGAGTTTTTATCTCATAAGCTGGGAGGGTCTGGGGTTGCCATCTGTGTTGGGATGTTAAACATGCGATGTTGTCTTTGTCTTTCAGACGGCCTATGCAATTCCCATCCTAGCATTTGCCTTTGTGTGTCACCCTGAGGTCCTTCCCATCTACAGTGAACTTAAAGAGTAAGGCGGCCATCATTTTAGCATTCTCATTTGCTTTGACAATGTGCTTGTATGTTCAAAGGTGCTCTATGCAGAAGCAGAGTTTACAGCTTTCTCCTCACAGAAAGTTTTTGCTACAATCACTCATCAGTAATGAGCTTGAACCACAAAGGTGTGAATCTACCCCCTGACTCCACTACCTTCCCTGCTTCCTTTCTCCTATTCCTCCACCCTAATGATCTAGGGAGGGGTTCAGGACAGGGCAGGGAGGAGCCAGTGTCCGTAAGGATTTGGGCAGGGTGGGGAATTTGATTTTGGATATTGGTGGGAAAAAGTGATGGCACCTCAACTGGAAATGACCCACACCCATGAAGACCAAAAATTATGATTAGGATGGCCTTGGTAGGTCACTGCTTTCACTTGTTGTCAGTCCCTCACCCTTGCCTAGAAGACATTCCGTCGCAAGGATGCGCCAATATCTGGCCTTCATTGTCTGATCTGTATAATGGAGACACTGGCTAGACGATCTTGTTTCTTCCAGCTGATAGTCTATGATTCCTTAATTCTTTTTTGCCATTGACAGCTACTTGGAGATGAGTGGGTCTGAGCCCTCCACAGCAGCTTCCTCCTTTACCCTTAGGAGAGGGTATCAGCTGATAATTCTCATCTTCTTTACCTAGACATCAATGACCTCAGTCTTCGTTCTCACTAAGTAGCAGTAGCTTGCCCCATATCTTCTGATTTAGCTCTTTAAAACCTTTTGGAACACTTTCAGTGATTTTTGATGTCTTTAATTTACTTGGAAAAATCACATGGAGCAGTTACTCTACACTTGATCTTAGCTAAGAGATGAAGAAGTGATAGTAGTTTTTCTAGAGGCCTGATGACGGACTTTAAGCAGCTAGGGGCCTCTGGAATGGTTTCCAGAAGCTGTCCAGGTGACAGCCTCAGGCTTTTGGGGTGTCTGAACTCCTGGAAATTGTCCTCAAACCTACCTCACAATGAAATGTGGAGGCATTCTACATTAGGAGCCAGTTTGATATTTGTGTTAATTGCATTCTTAAATACTCAAGAGACAAGCATACTTATCACCACAAAATTAACTGATCCTCTTCTAGGGAGATAGTCATTTCTAAGACTGAAGGAGTAGTGTTTAAGGAAAATGGAAACAGATCTTCCATTGCTCCCTAAGGCAAATTTAAATAAGCTATGTTTCTGCACTAGAAATATATATATAATATATAATGAGCCATAGAGACATACATTCTTTTACTAATTTTAAATTTTAATTTTAAATTTTAATTGTAAAAAGTGATTTTTTTTTAAATTTTAGTTGTAAAAAGTGATATTTTCATAAGAGAAAAAAAAATAAAACCCAAAGCTCAGTGTTCTTTTCCTTTTCAGTCGGTCCCGGAGGAAGATGCAAACAGTGTCAAATGTTTCTATCACAGGGATGCTCATCATGTACCTGCTTGCTGCCCTCTTTGGGTACCTAACCTTTTACGGTAGGTCACTCTGCCAAAGTCATTCTCTTTATGAAAGTCCTAGTTGGACTGTTCATTAATCTGGGTAGGTATACTTGTTTTATTTA